AAGATTCCAACCACAATGGGACCAAACTGGAAATTAATTACAGTGAAATAACAGAAAAATCTCCAAATACTTGAAAACTAAATAATAATAATAATAATAATAATAATAAATTAAATATAGAACTTCAACAAAATTAAAAATTGTGTTCTGTGAAAGACCATGTCAAAAGTATGAAAAAAAAGAGCTACAGAGTCAGAGAAAATATTTGCAAACCATACACCCAACACAGGAGTGCTAGTCAAGGGATATGAAGACTTCCTAAAATGCAACAGTATCAAAACAAACAATCTAATTAGAAAAAGGCAAGAGGCACAATGAGATATTTCACCGAAGAAAAGATACAGATGGCAAATAAGCACATCAAAGGATATTCACTATCCTTAGCCATCAGGGAAATGCAGATTAAAGCCACAATGAGATAGCACTACACACCTATCAGAAATCTAAAATATTTTTAGTGTTTGCACTAAAAAGTGTTTACAACCCCAAATGCTGGTGAAGATGCAGAGAAACTGGGTCACTCACTCAGACATTGCTGGTGGAATTATAAAATGGTACAACCACTCGAGAAAACAGTTTGGCAGTTTGTTACAAAACCCAAAGTCAAACTCAAAGATCATAGGACCTACCAATCTCACTAATGGGCATTTGTCCCAGATGAATGAAGTCTTAGATTTACACCAAATGTTTGCAGCATCTTTATTCAGAAGAGCCAGAAACTAGAAAAGCCCCAGATGTCCCTTAACATGGAAATGGTTAAATAAACTATAACACATCCATAACAAAGAATACGGCTCCAGAATAAAAACCAATTATTGATACAGGCAACAACCTGCTGGAATCTTCAGAGAATTATTTGGAGTAGAAGAACCCCAGGCCTAACAGGTCACATACAGTAAGCTTCCATTGATGGAAGATCCTGAAATGAAAAAATTATAGGTTAGATGAACACAGTGATGTTTGCCAAGGAAGAGAAGGGGGTATGGATGTACAAGGGCAACATAAGGGATCCTTGGCCTGTGAATCTATAGTTAGCTCAAAATAAAAATCTTAATTAAAGAAATAATTACAAAGTGAAAAACTACACCTCAAATTTAATAGGACAAAAAAAAATTTTTTTAAAGACTGCAGGAAAAAACTAGTAAAAGCCAGTAATAAATAATAGTAATAAGGCCTGTGCTATTATTGTACCAACACCAGCTTCTTCATTTTGAAAAATGTACCAGGATCATTGGGAGAAGCTGGGGAAGGAGGACATAAGATCTTCCTGTATTATGTTTGCAACTTCTTAGGAATCTTAAACTGTTTCAGAATAAAAAAAAATTATAATTTTTTAAAAACCACTGAACATTCTGATTTTCTTACCTCTGGTTAATTCTTAAAGGACCACAGACCCATACAGGTCTCACTCCATAGATACTCCCAGGGCTCTGGAAAGGATGTATTCTGTGACGTGCACATCAGGTATAAATCAGAAATCTCAACTCATGCACACAAGACTCAAGAGTCTTTCATGTCTATAATCCGATTTCATTTGTAAAGCTTCCATTCAGCCAATGTGGCAGAAATCATCTAGAGTAATTCAGCTCCTGGGGAAATGGCCCATGTTTTGGGAAGCATGCATGAAGTCTGATATCAATTTGGGGTGAGGCGGTGGGGGTGGGGGTAGAGAAGAAACACCTTCTTACCTTCGGTGTCTTCAGTCCACACTGCCATCTTCTGGGGATCCACCATCCATCACCCCCGAGTTATTGGTCCACACAGGTCCAGAACCCTTGGGTTCCATCTACAAGGCTTCTTGCCCCCAACAGTGCCATTGATACCACAGTCTTTTTCTCCTACGGCTGCTGTCACAGATTACTACAAACTTAGTGGCTCAAAACGACACAGAAGTATTATGTAACGGGTGTGGAGGTCAGGAGTCTGGAAAGGGGGTTGTGGAGCTAAAATCAAGGTGTTGGCAGGCTCTGTTCCCATGTGGAGGCTCCAGGGAGAATCCTTTTTCTTGCTTCTTCCTTCTACAGGCTGCCTACATTCCTTAGCTGTAGCTGAAAGACCCTGACCTTTAGCTTCCATTGTCACATCGCCTCTGACTCCAACCCTTTGCCTCCCTCTTACAAAGACCCGATGACGTTAGGCCCACCCCAACATACACGCACAAAGAAGAGGTCACGTGAGCACACCATGAGATGGCAGCTTCCCACAAGCCGAGGAAAGAGGCCTCAGAACGAAATCCACATCGCTGGCACTTTGGTCTTAGACCCCTCGTCTCCAGAATGGGGACAAATGAATGAATGTTGTCTAAAACCCCCAGTCTGTGGTGTTTAGTAATGGCAGCCGGAAGAGACTAAGGTAGTCTGTGGGTTGTGTGAGTTGTCTATCCAGAACCCAGCAGGAGGCTGAGGTATTCACAAAGACGAAGGCAGTGTTGTGAGGGGTGCCCCTACCCATGCTAAATCCAGAACTAAAGAGATGTGGGCCTTCTGGAGCAGCTCGCCTGAGAGGAAGTGTGAAGCTGGGCTATACATGTCCGGAAACTGAGAGACAGAAGCAGAAGGCAGAAGGTTCTACCGAAAACCCCTCCTCGTGGAGGGGCATGAGGAGAGGCCTTTGTGACCACCCGAAGTGCATGTTCCCATTCATGTATTCATTCAGCATTTACTCTGCATCTCTCTTTTATCAGTCTTCTACTGCTGTGTAAGAAACTACTAACAAACTGAGCAGCATAAAGCAACACAAATTCACAATCACACAACTTGTACGTCAGAAGTCTGGACGTGGTACCCTTGGCTTTTCTGCTTAGCGTCTCACTGGGTGCAAACGAGGTGGGGGCCAGAGCTGTACTTCTGGTCTGGAATCTCAGGCTGTTCTTCTAATAACCGCTGTGGTTACTGACAGAATTCATTTCCTTGTGGTTGTAGGACTGAGAGGTCTCTGTTGTCTCACGATCAGCCAGCCAGGGACTGCTCTCAGCTCCCAGAGGGGGCTCTCAGGTCTTTGCCACACGGAACCTTCCATTCAGCCACAGAGAACCTCCCTTGTATAAAATCCCCCTCCTGTTTGAATGTCTCTGACGTCTCCTTCTTCAACCACCAAGAAAAACCTGTCTGCTTCTGAAGGGCTCATATGAGATGCCTGGGTAGTAGCTACCTTCGGTTCAGGTCATGATCCCAGGGTCCTGGGATTGAGTCCCACATTGGGCTCCCTGCTCAGCAAGAAGCCGGCTTCTCTCTCTGTCTCTTCGGAGTGCTGCTCCCTCTGCTTGTACTCTCTCTCTGACAAATAAATAACTCTTTTTTAAAATAAATAAATAAATAAATAAATAAATAAATAAATGGCTCATATGATTTTATCAAGCCTATCCAGATAATCTTCCTAATCTCCAGATTTTTAAGGTCAACTGATTTGTGACTTTAATTACATTTGCAATATCCTTTTACAGTGGGACCTAGCTTAGTGTTTGAACAGCCAGGCGCTGGGGATCTTGGGGCCATCTCAGAGTTCTACCTACCACAAACCTACGTTAGGCAAGACAGTAGGACAGAAATGCCTAGCAAAATACACATCCACGAGGGACTTACAGTCAAGAGGGCATGGCAAGTACAAAGAAGGTACCTGATTACAAAGGAATAATTCGAATTCAAGGAAAAGATAATATTCTGTAGGACTTCAGAAGAGGCTGGTGTCATGCTCTTGGGAAGAGTGGTTTTTCCAAAGGTAGGGACAATCAACTTGAGTCTTGACGCATAGGAAGAGGGAAGGCATTCCAGGTAGAGAGTGCTGCATGTACAAAGATGGAAAAGAACGCAACAAATCTGGGGAGTGACAAGGAACCCAGTGATGCTGAGTCTTCAGAGGACAAGGCTAGACGAGGCAGAAGACTGGGCTGGAAAAGTTGGTTGGGTCCCATTTGTGCCGGAGGACCCATGCCATTCCAGAGAAGCAACCAAATATTCGAAGCAGGGAAATGACCTAGCAAGATGTGAGTTTTTGGTGACAGCAGGGATAATGAGGGCAGAAATTGGAGCCAGGAAAATGAGTTAGTTGGTATCTATAGCATTTTGGGTTCCTCAAACTAACCCTATGCTTCCAGAAGGAACAATATTATAACTGATGGATCCGTGAGAGGCAGACAGATGTCGGCAGTAAGAGACACGTGCTGTCACCGGTAACATGTGTGTGACACGAGATGGTTTTAAATGATGCATGTACACAGTAAATAGCTCTGACTCAGAGAGAAAGTTGCTCCTTTCCAATTCTCTTTCCATCCTTTCAATTAGCTCAAGGAAAAGTTCTCAGTTTGGAGGTAATCTGTCTTTAACACCTTTCTAACACTGTTAGAGTTCCACCTTCCACAAATAACAGTATCTGGCTAGATTAATAGCACTATTAATTTCTGTAGATTATTTTTTTGTTCCTTTCATTTGTTTCAATTAGTATTGGATTTTTTCCATGATGATAAAAGCTATTATTATTATTATTATTATATAAGTATATTTGCATTTTCAAATGTGAATCAATATAACTTAAAAATGTTAAAGAATTCTGCAGATGGTCCATATGCTGCTGGGGCAGAAGTCGTGAAGGTGGGTTATAAACGAGTCAATTTGGGACACATGGGTGGAATGGGAGGCTGGCAGGATTCGCAATCGGTCTAACTTGGGTGTAAGTCCCACTTCTAACTCATTAGCTCAACGTTCCTTGAATAATTCATAAACCTTGCTGGGCCTCAGTTTCTCCCTACAAATGAAGGAGATTTTACACCTCCTCAGAAGATGGTGATGATTAAATGAAACAAAATGAAAGAAGTTTCTGGGTGCCTCGTACACTGTGGATTTCACAGCGCATGTCTCTGAAGAGGGAAACCTCTGTTCTTAGCAACACCAAACAGAGACTTAACTCCAGCACCCACTAAGTATCTATGCTTGGTAAATATTACCTAAGAGCATTCATCTGTTCAACATCTGAGACCTGTGGACCCCAGTGGTCCTTTGGCTGAGTCCAGATGTTTTGTGAGAAACAGTTTATTTAGGAAAAGCATTTAACTCAGAGTGACCAGCCCTGGCATCACAGCCAGGCCCCCAGGGCCTTGTCTTGGCTTTCTCTAAGATCTCAGGACGCTACATCCTGCAGATATCCATTGGAAGTGGATCTGGGACATTCAGATACATATGCAAATGAAGATACATAGAAAATACCTCCCACTTTAGTTATCTATTGCTGTGTAATAAACCACCCCCAAACTTCGTAGTGCTTAACAACTACCATTTTGTTATCATTTTTCACAATTCTGTGGGCTGACTGGGTTACACCAGGTGGTTCTGCTCTATGTGATGTCAACTAGAGCTGTCGTCACCTGGAGGGTCAGTTAGTCTACCAGCATCCAAGATGGCGCACACTCATGTGGCTATAGTCTGACCGGGTGTTAGCCAGAAATCACAGGAGCTATTGTCCCTAGCATGATTTTCTTCCATGACGCCTCTCCATGAAGTCTGGGGTTCTCATAGAATGGCAGCAGGATTCTAAGAGGAAGGAAACAGAAACTGCCAGTCTCTTAAGGCCTGGCTCAGATGTCCCAGTATATCACGTCCATTGCATCCAAGCAATCTCAGGAGTAGTTCAGAGTCAAGGGGAGGGAACATAAACGCCACTTCCTAATGGTGACATAATTTTCATACAGGGAGGAAAAGGATTGACGGCAGCCATCTTAGGAGACGATGTACCACACCCCCTAAAACTTTTCCTTTTTGCAGAGAGTTGTCACTCTAAAATTATGTGTGTATTTCAACCCAGCAAATATTTATCTAGGAATTTATCCTAAGGAAGTAATCTTGGATGATTCAACACGGGCTGTCCGTTGGGAAAAGAAAATGAAAGTACCTGCTATTCGATAGTACTAGACCAGTTCAATCCAATGGTGGTTGAGGATGTGTTTTGAGTGTCGATGGCCTGGAACAAGACAGAGTTAAGCTTAAATCCCAAATCCGCCACTTAATATTAGGATGATGTTAAGCGAATTACTTGATTAAGCTTTATAAGTCTCAGCTTCTATATTTGTACGAGATAAATTGGGTTGCTGTGATGATCCATGGAAAGAATTTAGCACATAGTGAATGATCACTAACTGGGAATTGCCATTATTATTTGCAGTCGTTAGTGCTATGGTTTTAGTGCAAATATTTCTAATCTCCCCATCTCCAGGCACATAACACTTTCATGGCTCCATGTGAGTAACTTTGTGACCAGTTCTGACCAATGAGTAGTAAGGAAAAGTGATACATTACTTCCTGGCTGAACATTTAATTGTCTGTACAAGATCTTTTTTTCTCTTGCTCAACAATTGACAAAGTCTGATGCATGTGTTGACTATTTTGTTAGCCTGAGTCCCTAAGTGACTGCGATGGTCAGAATTCTCCTTGCTAACTCTTCATGGACATGTAGCAAAAGCAAGAAGTAAAGTGGTTTTAAATTACTGAGATCAGGGGTGTTTTGTTTTGTTTTGTTTTGTTTTGTTACTGTGGCGTATTTGAGCCCATTCACTCTAGGGCAATGCTATTTTGGTTGTTGTTCAATCTTGCAATGAACAATATTATTGTGATCCCATTAAAGGTGACATATTTAAATTCTCAATGACAAGAAAAAATAGTCATAGTATAAGGGCTGCCTTCACTATGGAGGGCTCACCATTCACAGGGCCACTTACAATATGTTTGTACTTCCCACCAGATTCCCTTCATTACTCACCCAAATATTAGCTCAACAAAGAGACCATTTCTTTCTAACCTTTTACTAAGTTTTATCCACATTCATGCAATTTATCACTACCTGATATATTACATAGTTACTTATTATCTAGTTCTAAAATAAGCTGTTTATCCCAGGAACCATGTATGAAACAGAGTAGACATTTTTTTTTAATTTAATGCAGGCATACCTATATAGCAAAATGTGCATTGTGCTTTCTTCAGGGTGGTAAAATTGAGTGCTACCTATTTATGGAATATATTTTTGCTTAGGCACTCTTCCAACAAATGTTTTATTTATGTGCATTTTCATTTTCAATGATTATTATGTATTATTTTCACATGAGAAATGATAATAATAGGTAACATTTACTGAACACTCACCGTGGGTCAAGCACTAAAGCTCAGTACTTTACATGAATTATCTTCACCTCCCTGGGAGATAGGTCTAATCATTATCCTCATTTAGTATTCATAGATAAGGGTACTAACATTTAGAGAAGTTAAATGAGCACTGGGCCTGGAATTCACACCCCAGATCTCTATGCTATAGCCAAATAACTAACCAATGTATACATCAGGATGTAAACATAAGCTTATTGTAAAGAGTAAATAGGCGCATTCACACATGTTGGCTCATGGGAGGCTCACGAAAACCTTACAAGGTAAGCCAGTGGGCGTTATTATCCCCACTTCAAAGACCAAGTCTTGGGCCCATATGACTGCATCTTGCCATCCGCCTCCTACCACATCTTTGCAACAGGTGTTTCCTCTCCCCAACTCATAAGCCTTTCCCCCCACGATACTTGGCTATGCACATCTTTCCTTGGCAGACCGACTGAAGACACAGCTCTGTTTCTCCGTGGCAGGCCTGAGGCTTTGTTGCTTATAAGCAAATCTGTATGGGAATTCATATAAGTCAGAAGTTAGGAGACTTGGGGTCTGGTCTGGGCACTGCCAGCCTCAGTTTTCCCACCTGCAGAATGAGGTGGTTGGAGAAACAGATCCCTAAGGACCAATGCAGAGTGAACGCTTTTCGTGCTGGGAATGCAAATGAGGACTGACCAGCGATGCTCTTCCTCACCAGACCAAAGCCCGTGCACGGGAGAAGTAGAAGCCTGGAGCGCAGGAAATGAAGGTCTCAGCGAAGATCATTCTAGGTTAACAGTAAATGTGTGCATCTTAAATAGCATTGGCTCCCTATAACTGGATGAGCCCTGACAAGAGTGCACTTCATTCATTCATTCATTCATTCATCCATCCATCCACTCATCAGTCACTCACTGTGCACCTACACATAATACACCAGGCAGGTTTAAGAACATGAAAACAGTAATGAAGGAAACAAAGTGCGTGCTTACAGGAATCTTACATTATAGCGGAGAGACAACATATAAATGGATAAGCACATAAAAAAGCATATGGTAACAAAGACCTTGTCAGGTGATAATTCTCTTCCAGGATATTGTAAGAGAGGGGGACAAAGTCTGATAGGGCCACGCTTTGGTCCCCTTTGGGTACCACAGCAAATGCTGAAGAAGGGCACAGAAATAGCATTGGCCTTGCGGTTACAAAACCCAGAGTTAAATCACAGTCCTGGATGTAGTCTGAGAACTTGAAAACCACTGCACACTGTATACAATAACTGCAACTTGTAAAAGCCTCAGTAGTCTGCCCTATAAAATGGGCTTACCCTACAGGAATGAGGCAAGGATCAAACCAGACGACAAAATCAAATAAGTAAAAAGCTCTGAGTTTTCCCCACTCTAAACTTTCTGCTCTACACTCCAAACAGGTTCAGATTTCTGCGAAGCCAAGCTCCTGCTATGGACTTGAAAACATCAAGTCCCCTTCCCCCCGACCTTTGATCCTACCACTGGCATGGGATTCCATCTCAAGGCACAAGACATTTTGTATCAAGCCATGGGGGGAGGGGCTGCAGGCATGAAGGTAAACAGCATCTGTCTAGCAAGCTCCTGGTTTTCTTCCCACTTACAGGTATTTGGCAAAGCAATCTGAATGTTCCCAAAGGTCACACTCTGCTTGGTTTTTTCTAAGTTTTGCCAATAGTGGCTGTTCTATGCTACCGTTGGAAAATTGATATTTAATAGTTTTCATTTCTCCTATCAGTCTCATAATGGAAATATTAAAGAAATGTAACATATGGAAGGATATACACCAAAATTAAAAGCTGTACCTCCTTGGACAGCTGATAATCACTTCCTTTCTCTTGCTTGCTTCTCTGTATGTTGTGCTTTCTTTTCTCATTCATTTAAAAAATATTTATCTAGGGATCAGACAGCTGGAAGGGGCGGTCCTGCAATTCACATCTTAGTTCCAAATCTTTCTGCTCTGCCACTTTTCTTTTGGGTTTATAAACCAGTGTGGATTTTGTTGTCTTTCGATTAGGGGTTCCGCAGGGATAATGCTGGGTTTTTGTTTGTTTGTTTGTTTGTTTTTTAATTTCTTCTCCTCCTGCAATTGCTAAATTTGCAAGACTTCCTAGCCAGGCCTGGTTTTCACCCAATTAGGAACAGAAGCTGCTTTCTCCCTGCTAGGCATCTATAAAACACCATGATAGATTCTTGTCCTTCCTTGGTTTCAAAGCCACTAGACAACAATTTGAATCCAGGTTCTACGACTTACTGCCTGGGTGAGTTGAAGTTTCTTAACCTCTCTGAACAGCAGTTTTGTCATTTATAAGATGACAAAGATTACTTCACAGGGTAGGTAAGGATTTGACGAGATGATACATACAAAGGGCTTGCATCTAGCACAGCCTCAAAATGTAATTGCTGTTAACAAAAGTGGTCTTGGGAAGCACTAGAGGCTGTTCTAGGCTTGGAGAGCATGCACGGAAGGAGAGCTCAGGTTGTTACTAAAAGGTGGAATCGTGCAATCATTACAAACTCTAGGTCAGACCTGTAGTTAACCCAATTTAAATCTTTGTTCTCTCCATTTGCCTCAGGTAAGCTTGGACATTTCTCTAAGCCTCAACTTCCTCATCTGTAAAATGGGCATAATAATATAACTTCCCTTAACAGCAGCTCTCAAAATGTGATCCAAGGACCCTGGAGGTCCCCAAGACCCTTTTGGGGGCCCTCAAAGTCAATGTCATTTTCAGAATAGGGCAGATTACTTCCCTTTTTCTCTCTCATGCTCTCACAAGTATACAGCAGTTTTCCTGAGGCTAAATGACCTAAAATGGTGTCATTGTTCTGACGGCTAACAGAGAGTGTGTCTGTAAACTTCTGTTTTAATTTTTTTCAGTTTAATTTCTAATATGGTAAATGTCAGTATGTATATAACTCACACAGGCAAAAGCTTTTTGGGGTCCTCAATAATTATGAGAATTTAAAGGGACCTGAAATAAAACATTTTGGGAATCGCCGCCTGGTACGGTTGTTGTAAAGATTAAGTAGCAACTGTCATATGCATACAAAGTACCCAATAAACAGCACCCTTATAATTACTGATTCCAAAGCTCCTGAATCGCATAATGGTCCGTCTACTCCACCAGCGCATAAAGCAAACTGAAATCATGGCACTCAATGCAAAGGCACCCTTGTTTTGTTCACTGCTGTTTATGTAGCACAAGCCCAGTCCATGCTAAAGGTTGAGCAATTTGCAGACACTGCAGCCCACCAGAAACCTCATGGTTTCCTTGACACCTAAGTGCCCTGAAGACACAGGAACTCAGACGACCCCCCACCCGAGGGCTAGCCTGCTTGGCTCAACCCTGACCCTTCCCACCCCATTAATCTCTCACCCAGCCAGAGGCAGAGGGTAACAAGGTGGAGGCACAGGAACCTTGGCTTATAGAAAACCATCCTAAGTGATGGACCATCAAAAGGAGGTGAAGACCCAAAACGGGAATAGTTTCCTAAAGTTTTCCATAATTTCCATGAAACCGAACAGAACTATCTATAGTCACTTTTAAGGGGGGGGGAGGAGAGAGTGGAATGACCTTGAAGAGTGAAGGCTAAGAGCGAACAAGACTTAGAAGAGTGGAGAGAGTAAGCAGTATAAAATTATTAAAGTTGGTGGGGGATCCTTTTTTTTTTTTCCTTTTTTCTTGTAGGCTTCGGGCACACCCTCGAGGGAAGAAAAATAAAACAATATGCCTAGATTCTCATGTTGATGGCAAATACATTAGGATCTTAGAAGTTATCAAATGAGATTGAGAAAGATGCGACGCGACCTGGGTCTTGGTCATCAAGGAAGCCGTTATTTAATGAATCCGTTGAGAGCTGCGACATTCGGCTCTCGGGTCTGTAAACATCACCCAAGAGACCCCTCCCAGGCCAGGACCTTGTTTTATACGCCGTTAAGAAAACGAATAGACAGCCCCTACATGAGCAATAACCGAACAAACAGGTGCAGACCAGTAAGAAAATTTTGCATATGAGCTATTTTTATTGTCAAAAATTCTGGAGCCCCAGTGGGGCTACGTTAGAGAAATTGGAGCCCCTAGGGGAGAACCTAGAAAAACCTTTCGCCCAGTTTCTTCTCCCCAGCCTAACAAACTAAAATGTCAAAAGGTCACCCAGTGCTTTGGCCACGCGGTCCGCCCCCAAGGCCAGCCGTCCCCAGCCCAGTCCCCGTCCTCGCCTCTGGCCACTGCGCCGCGCACGGCCACCTGTTGCTGCCCTGGCGCCCAGAGCTGAGTCGCAAACCGCCGCTAGAGTTCGTTCTCATTCCCCGGAGCAGAGACTGGCTGGGAAGCCCCGACGCTCCGAGCCTGCTAATCCTCCGGGCGGGCGGGGACTCCGCACAGCCTCCCAGCCCCAGGCTCCCTTTGTTTTCTCGCTGCGCTCAGACTGTCAGAAGTAGACCCCAGACAGCGTCCCTTGGCCCCGGCTCCGCTCGAGCGCGCTTGCGCCCAACTCACACCGGGAAAGGCTGAAGCGTCGAGATGCCCTTGGAGGGGAAATGGGTCCGTCCGGGCAGGAATGCGAGGCGCAGACAGGTTGCCCGTGGGATTCCGAAGCGTCCCCTGGATCCCGAATTCCTCAGGGCTCCTTAGCGTAGCGGAGCTGCAGGAACGCCGCGCCCAGAACGCAAGCTCACCGCACCGAGGCCGCCGGCGAAGGGCGGCGAGATCCCGGCCGGTTTTTACTCTAAAACGCTCGAGGGGAGCCAGGGGGCGGCGGTTCGGGATCCCTTCCCGCCGGGAACGCCGGAGTCCCAGTTCCGAAAGTGACCCGCCCTGCTTGCGAGGGACTTCCCTGCGAGCGCCGCAGGGGTGTGCATTTCTCCGAGTCTGAGAATCCCAGCGAACGCCGGCCCGACTAGAGTTTAAGTCAGCTCCCGGGGCGTCTGTTTGTTTATTGGCTCTTAAGGGGAAAAGTTTGAGGATCTTTAACCAACCTCCGACCTGGCGCAAGCGCAAATCTCCGAATCTCCCCAGCAAAAGCCATCTAATTTCAAGTCGTTATATAAGTGGGGGCTCTTTCTCACCCTCCCTACCCCCAAGCCCTCTTATTCCTATTCCAGGAGCAAAACGTAACTCGCTTAAAAAAAAATTTTTTTTTAAGTTATTATTTCCCTGAGCCCAAAGACGCGGAGAAAGGGCAGACAGCGCCCTGGGCGCGTGGCGGCCCCACCCGCGCGCGCGGCCTCTAGAGCCGAGAGAGGGACGCGGGGTCTGGGGGTGCTGCCGGCTCAGGGCCAGCAGCCGCGCCCCGCAGTCCCTCCGTCTGCCACTCCACGTGGTCAGGATCAACAGTTTGTTGAGCTCATCAGTGACACCTTGAACTTTTCATAAAGAAAATGGGTATTGCACCGGGAGGGTTTGGCCGCGGCCGCCGGGCCGGGTCGTGCTTAATATTCAATGATCTCGCTCGCGCCTCCCCCTCCTCCCCTCGCAGAAATTCCTCCGAGTCCGTTACTGGGCTCAGACTTTTAAGTTAATTTACTGCCCCCCCCAACCTCGGCTAGTAACCAGCGCCTTTAGGGCCAGCCTCCCCCCACCCAGCTCCCGCCTGAAAATGACATTTCGCCGGCGTC